GGTAAGCTGTTGTGTGAGGTAGACTATATGAGAGATTATTTGATAAATAAGAAAACTGAGGCATGGGTAAGGTTAAATAACATGCCCAAGACACATATCTAGTAAGGTGCAAAGCTGAGATTTGAACCCTGGCAGTCTGACTTCAGAGACCGTCTAACCATGTGTGTTTGTATTTTCATTCCCAATAACATATTTGGTAAGTTACTCCAAGGATCACGCATCCTGGAATGGATATGTTTGTCTGCATCTGGATTACTTATTGAAAAACGAGTAGCAGGAACTCTGTATTGGACCCGGAGGCAGAATTTTCTTACACTGTAATGACTGACACCAGGACTCAAAAGATATTTGAATGTGAACCACAAAATGGACAGCTTCTTGTAAAACAGTATAGCAAGCCAGGGCTTTTTCAGGTTTGAACTAGAGTTAAATGTTGGCATCCCTACCCTTTAGGCCAGGATTTTCTATTTCTGAATTTTAATTCTGGCAGCATCATGCCCACCTAGAAAAACTGATTGAAAATAAGGAAATTCAAGAAATTGGTGTTATTTTTCTAATAAATGAATATACATGGTCAAAACTTTTTCTTCGTGGTCTGTCTCAGATTGATAAACTTGTTAAAACTGAAGAGAAAAGCCTCTTAGCCCATGCGTACTGATTCCGAATAGAAATTTTTCTTATGGGCGCTGTGTCTATTTGCTAAATTGCCCCAAGCCATCTCCCTATGGCCTCTATGTTCAGTCACTGGAAGTGTCTTACAGAATTTAGAGATGGAAAGAGCTATTTCTATTCCAGCATATTCTGATTATAATAATTTGCAGAAACCACTAGGGTTGGAATTTGTAGTTAAATGGATAATTCTTCACTTTCTTTTCTGATCTCTTATTGTTGGAATATTGTTTTTGAAATTTTACTGATGTGTGGGACTTCCATTTTTCTTCCCCACAACAACAGAAAATCAATGACTCAGAACATGACAGTTTTTTCTTAGTGCCATTGTGTCAAGAGAAGCTAATCTCAGTGCTTATTTTTTATGAGTGAGATCTTACTACAGTCAATACTGTCATATATTAAGTCCCAAGGTTGTGTATTTTCTTTGTTTATGTAAAACTGTGGCATTGACTGCATCCTTTTTGGGTATGGTGGCATGCACCTGTAATCCCAACAGATTGCTTGAGGCCAGGAGATCAAGGCAGCCAGCCTAGGCAACATAGTGAGACCCCGTCTCTAAAAAATAAAAATAAAAAATAGCTAGATGTGGTGGTGTATGTCTGTAGTTCCAGCTACTGAGAAGCTGAGGCAGGAGGATCACTTGAGCCCAGGAGTTCGAGGCTACAGTGAGCTATGGTTGTACAACTGCACCCAGTGTGGCCAACAGAACGAGACTCCATCTCAAAATAATTTAAAAATAACCAGTTCTTTAACTTGGTATTTAGAAAAGTTTATTTCTATTGTAGCAGTAATGTGTCAAAATTTAATGTATAGAATAAAAGCATTTCAATCCTTACACCACCATTGTTCTAGCAATATCCAAAATAACAAAACTTTAGTGCAACAACAAAGCCCCTGCATTTTGTATTATTATAGTTAACATTTATACAATCTCTGAATGTATCTATAGGTTAGCACATTTAGTATATGTTATTTATACATACAAATGTCACCTTTTTCTTTTTTCAGACAGAGTCTCGCTCTGTCGTCCAGGCTGGAGTGCAATGGCATGATCTCGGCTCACTGCACCCTCCACCTCCCAGTGTCAAGTGATTCTCCTGCCTCAGCCTCCTGAGTAGCTGGGATTACACGCACGTACCACCATGCCTGGCTAATTTTTGTATTTTTAGTAGAGATTGGGTTTCACTGTGTTGGCCAGGCTGGTCTTGAACTCCTGGCCTCAAGTGATCTTCCTGCCTTGGCCTCCCAAAGTGCTGGGATTACAGGCATGAGCCACTGTGCCAGGCCCAAATGTCTTATTTTGAGGACTATTTGTCTTTTTGTTTAGATTTTAAAATAATGACTATGTAAAATAAGTAAGTTTGACCTTAGCTAGAAGTTGACATTGACAGGATTTCTTGAGCATGTTAATAAAACATCATTTTTAGGGCCTAGTTCACAAGCAGAGTGAAGATTCCTAACTCTAGCCGGCTTCTAATCAAAAGTAGGTATCTTGACAAAAAACACCCCTGGTTTCTTATTGATTTACTTTTTACTTATTTCTGCAGGGAACATAGCGCTGCAAAATAATCACACTGTTCCGTCCATGTTATAATGAGATCAGGACGTTATAACAGACTTTATTTTCTTTTCATGAGGAAAAACAGCATGTTTTTTGTGCAGTTTTTCTTTTAGGAAAAGGCAGGCAGCATTAAAGAGGCACTCTGAGTCACAAACATTTGTTAAATCGAGAACATCTAAAATATGGGGATAGACTCTTCTCAGAGCATGTGGCTCCATCCTGAGATTGCCGTTGCAGCCATCCCTTGGTCTTATTCTGTTTGCTATAATAGCATCACTTCTCCCCCAGGCTGGTACCTGAGCTGGACAGAGTGAGTGGGTAACAGCATCAGGCAGTGTATTGCATAGTATCCTTGTTCTAAAAACTTTAAGACTTTAATGTCATTGGCCGGGTGCAGTGGCTCACGCCTGTAATCCCAGCACTTTGGGAGGCTGAGGCGGGCGGATCATGAGGTCAAGAGATCGAGACCATCCTGGCCAACATGCTGACACCCTGTCTCTACTAAAAATGCAGGAAATTAGCTGGGCGTGGTGGCACATGCCTGCAGTCCCAGCTACTCGAGAGGCTGAGGGAGGAGGATTGCTTGAGGCAGAGGTTGCAGTGAGCCAAGAACAAGCCACTGCACTCCAGCCGGGCTACAGAACAAGACTCCGTCTCAAAAAAAACAAAAACAAAACAAACAAAAAATACTTTAATGTCATTTAACTTTTAAAAGGTTTTTGTCAAATAATTAATTTTTCATAGAAACATGTTTCAGAGATTTAATGGCCAGTTTATTTTTGTTCCCTTTTCAGATTTTGAGATTTAAAAAAATAGAACCCTCTTTGAAGTCAGAATTGCACTACAAGCAATTCATTACTAAGAAGTAAACATTATTGAGAAGTTTGTTTAAATTGTTGGAAATGTAAAACTCTTGAGCTAAGTTCTTTGAAATTACCTTTGAGCACACCCATCATTGACTGGACCAAGCACATAAGAAATTAGACCATCCCCTTCTTGTGAGCACCTGTACGAAGCATGCACTTCCTTCCTTACAAGAATGCCTTCCCATGCCTTCTGGCACACAGATGTCTTCTGTTTCCACCAGTTCAAAGCAGCTTTATGTGGCCAGAAAGAATCCATGACTCAGTTTCTTCTATGCCATTGCTCACCACAGAGCTGGAAAGGATTGTTTTGCTGTGTTCTGTTCTTTGGTGTCACATGCAGGGTTTCAGGGACAGCTGGCTTTCCCTCCTTCACAAGATCAGCCTGAAGAGTCTGATGATCTGGTTCCCCAAATTTTTACCTATCTCTTCTTATCTTTGATCTTTGACTGGGGAAGCCTGTTGTTTCAAGCCTTCTATCATAGTCTTTGTGACCTTGTGTTTTTACAGAGTACATAAATAAGTTTGCTCTGCCACCATGTATTTAATCCTCAGCAGCAAAATTATTAAGAAGACAACCCTCCCCGCTTAGATGTTCTTAGGTCCCTGCCTCATCAATCCATCCAACTTGCCATCTCCCCTTAAAGCTGTTTTCCAGCTAGTTATTGGTCTTTGGCCATCAATTTGCCTGGTCCATTTTGTACTAACCTCATTTGTGGGTGATTCTGTCATGATGAAACCTGTGGAGATGACATGGCATTTTGATCTGTCAGGGAGAGAATTGTTTTGGTTTGTTTTCATAGCCTAGAATACCAATAATGTGTTTACTTTAGGGACCATATAGGTTAAGAACTCCTTGGAGTAAAACTGACCAGAATTTGTATCCTGCTTTGGCCCCTTATTACCTGGTCAAATTTCTCAACTTCTCTGATTTTAAATTCCTTTTTCTATAAAATTGAGATAATAGTAACAGGGGTTGGTGTGTGATGCAAATGCTTAAATTGACTTAAAGGGTTTAGCACTTTGCCTATAAATGCTCAATAAATTTTAGCAATTATTAAATAATATTGTTGAATGAATTGCTCTATTAATCTTTCTCTTCTTCCCTATTTTTTTTACTCTTTTCTATGTATCTTTCTCTCATTTTTGCCCTCTCAGTATGCCAAAGGGACATTAATACTTTCAGTCAAATCCACAGGACTTATGGAAAAGACTTATCTGCCAAGACTTGTTTTGGTTTGTTGTAACCACTTAGAGAAATTTATTATCGAGGACAAAAAAAGAAAAAAAAAATGTTGCCTTCTCAGATAGGGACTCACACTGGCAATCTCAACTTAAAGGTCTTCCCATTTTAGGACCCTGCTCATACAGCAGCTCTCGCTCCACAGTCATCCAAATGCCTCGCAGCGCAGCGGGGCAAGGCTTGTGCTGCACATCCTCTGGTTAACATTCTCTTGGCAGATCAGGTTTCATGGGCCCACAGTGACTCGCACTGCGGAGACTGCTTGGCGTCTTGCATGGAGCAGATGAAAGCAGCTCTGAAGGGAAGCTGCTTCTCTGGCACACACAAGCAGAGCAGCGTATTCCTGCATTGCCCAAAGTGGTTCAGTTTCATTTAGTATCAGAGGCTCTGCCTTTTGGGAGGGAACAAATAATGGAGCCCTTTTTTTGTTTGTTTTTGTGACATAGTCTTGCTCTGTCATCTAAGCTGGTGTGGCACAATCTTGGCTCACTGCAATCTCCGCCTCTTGGGTTCAAGCAATTCTTGTACCTCAGCCTCTTAAGTAGCTGGGATTACAGGCGTGCACCACTGCACCCAGCTAATTTTTGCATTTTCAGTAGAGACAGGGTTTTGCCATGTTGGCCAGGCTTGTCTCAAACTCTTGTCTTCAAGCAGTCTGCCCACCTCAACCTCCCAAAGTGCTGGGATTATAGACTTGAGCCACCATGCCTGGCCAATAGGGCCCTTTTAGACAATAAAATAAAGTCCTTCTTGGCATCAGGAAAAGTTGATGCTTTGTTTGACACGAGGGCTCCATCTTTCCGCACTTGTAAATTGAATGTCCTGTGGGTGATTGTGTTCTTTTTTTTTGAAAAAACACAAAGCTACCGCAAATTAAGATTGTGTTCTTAGGTTTGAGAGCATTTGTTCCCTTCATTTTCACCCTGTTTTCACATTTTATGTAGAATGGTGTCTTTAAATCTCATCTGAATTTAATTTAATGAACTACATGACACTTAGGAATTATGAGTTGATGACGATACTCTAGCTTTCTGCATTTTGTCATCGTTTCCATCTGTGCCACATATGAAAAATGTTAGATTTCTGTTCCTTGGCACATTGGATGTTATATAGGATGGACAAGATTAAAAAGCTCTTGCCCTTGACACTGTAACCAGGAGTTCTTCATCTGGGGTCTGTAGACATCTGGGGGATCTGTAGCAAGCTTCTTAGGACATCCTTGATTTTCAAGGCATCTGAGGCCAAATAATGGTTAAGGATGATCAAATAGAGGGTTCAAGATCCTGAAATTGAACTAGATATATCTTCTGGTTCGGAATTATTATGGTAGTGTTTTGGTTTTGGTTTTGGTTGTTTGCTTGCTTGCTTGCTTTTAAAGAAATTGCCTTGAAAAAAAAATCTGTTTTAAAGCACGCCTGTGACTGAACACCATTCAGCTTTGGTCATCTTATGCACTAAAATTGTGTGTGGAAACCAAAGGAAAACAGGAGAGTGCCATCTAGAGGCCTTAACAACAGTTTGGTCCTAGGCTTCTCCCTACACAGAAGTCTTCAGCAACTTCCTAAATTAAGAACACTTTTTTCCTCTTAAGTAACTGCAGACCATAAACATGTGTGTCAATGACAGTTATAGTCAATACAGGGGCTGCTACGGTTGTGGCTGTAGCCTTACTACTCTGGAAACAGAATTTTAATCAAGCTTAATATTGTAGATGACGTTTACTTTATAAGAATGTAGAAGTCTTTCAGATGTACACTGCATTTGAATATACTTTTAATTATAAAGCAACCACAGATTAATGCCTGATGTAAGAAATCATTTCGATATAGGAACTTTGTTGTATTATCTTTTAAAATTAGAGTAAACTAGGCCAGGCCCGGTGGCTCACGCCTGTAATCCCAGCACTTTGGGAGGTCGATTGAGGCAGGCGGATCACCTGAGGTCGGAAGTCTGAGACGAGCCTGACCAACATGGAGAAATCTCGTCTCTACTAAAAATACAAAATTATCCAGGCGTGGTGGCGCATGCCTGTAATCTCAGCTACTCGGGAGGCTGAGCTGAGGCAGGAGAATCACTTGAACCCAGGAGGCAAAGATTGCAGTGAGCCGAGATCGTACCACTGCACTCCAACCTGGGTGACAGAGCAAGACTGTCAAGAGAGAAAGAGAGAGAGAGAGAGAGAAAAAGAGAAAGAGAAAAAGTAGCGGCCTTGTAGGCCCAGGACTTTGGATTTCATTCTGAGGGTTATGGGAAGAGGCTGGAGAAATACAAAGTGGTGATATGCCCAAATGTATGCTTTGGAAAAATTCCTTTTGCCTCTCGATGGAAAATAGATTGTAATGGAGTGAAAATGGAAGCGGAAAGTCCAGGTAGGAGACTTTTGTAGTGGTGTAAGCCAGAGATGATGATGGCTTGGATAAAGACATTGAATTACTGGTTCAATGTTGAATTAATGTTGGGAAATTTGGATCCCCCAACAACTCTGTGCACTACAGGGGCAGTGTAACATGTAATTAAGACTACCAGGTGAAGAGTCGGGCTGTCTGGTTTGAAATCTGACTTAATAGCCATGTGACCTTGGACAAGTCTCTTTACCTCTCTGGTGCCTAGTTTTTGCTATTCCTAAAATGGGAACAATGATAGTATATTCCCTCCTAGGATTGCTGTGTAGATTAAATGCGGAAATAATCATTGTAAAATGCTCAGAAGATGCATTAATACTGTTGTTTTGGTATCATCATCACTGCCTTCATCACAACTCTTACTCCCACATCACCCTCAGTGCCCACAATTTATAGATGAGAAAACTTAGAAATAGATGGTAGTTTTTGAAATCAGAATATAGGTTTCTTGATTGTGAATCCATTGTTCTTTCTGCAATATAATCTGTAATATGAGCTCCCAGAGAAAAATTTCTGTTGATCTGAATAACTGTAGCTCACAGCTCAGTTTTACATACCTGTGACTGTTTAAATAACATTGAGAAAATGATAAATAAGGCTAGCTGAATCCCAGGGCATAGGAGAGAAGTCACTTGTGGCTCTTTCCCCACACACCTTGTGCCATCAGAAATTCAAATTCCCTGAGTTTTGAAGAACAGTATTGCACACCTAAGCCAAAAGCATTAGTATGCACATGGTGGTACATTTAGGAGGATAGAACTGAGTATTTTGTGAACCTTGTAAGACACTGAATCTCTTTAGAGGCTATTCTGTTCTTCATTAGTTGTGTTAAGTGAAGCCATACATAATAGAAATAAATGAAATCCATGGATTATTCCCATACCTTTTCCGTTCAGACTTTTGGTGAAGGCATTAACCAGACTACCACATTCGAGTTTCTTTTTCTCCACCTCTCTCTGCCTTTGCCTAGCCCCTTCTGGTGGAGTAAGCAACAGAATAGGTAAGGATCACAGAGCAAGAGAGACAAAATGAGAGGCAGGGATTTGGAGAGCCTCCCTGCTGACTTTGCCCCTGGTTCCTCTGCTCCCCTGGTGCCTCTGCTCACCAGAGACTGAAGGCAGGCTGTTTGTCCATTGCAGAATGTGAGCATTTGATCCGTCATATGCTGGTGTTAGACCCCAATAAGCGCCTCTCCATGGAGCAGATCTGCAAGCACAAGTGGATGAAGCTAGGGGACGCCGATCCCAACTTTGACAGGGTGAGCCGGGAACCGCTGCCACAGGGAACTCCTCTGAAGCTGCTGCAGCCTCCTTTGCATGTAATTGTAATTAGGCCGTGACCTGAAAAGGCGGACACTGGGAAGAAACTATTGTGTAACGCTAAAGCAGCACACGAAGCAAGCAAGAAGGAATGAACAACCAGTTGAACTGTTGGAGAATAGTTATCCGGGTTCCCTACCATGTGCCCCCAAATTATCGTCTGTTTTTGGCTTCTGACATAGTACAGCCTGCAGTTCTGCAGCTTACCTACGATGGGGATGTCACCTTCCTCTTGTCTTAATGTGCTCAATTCAGTGGCTTCTGTAGCATGCTTTTACTTAAACCACTGTGACCATCCCAGGTACTCCAGGGAGCTCATGAGACAGCGGGATGTTATCTGTTCAAAGCTGATCACTCAAGGCTGTCTTCCTTAGACTTTGTCTGAGGCCAGAAAGCATCCCAAGCTAGAGGGCATAGAACAGTTTGGTCATTATATATGCTGTGCCATATCGATGTGGTTAATTGGGGGGTTGACAGCTTCCCCTTTTTTATGTTACAGTTAATAGCTGAATGCCAGCAACTAAAGGAAGAAAGACAGGTGGACCCCCTGAATGAGGATGTCCTCTTGGCTATGGAGGACATGGGACTGGACAAAGAGCGGACACTGCAGGTATCTCTGAAGGAGTGGAGAACAAAGTGGGAGGTAGCAGTTCTTCCTCTAACCTGCTTTTTCCATTTTTCTCCTTCTTGGGAACTTGGGCCTTTTTTTCCCTCCTGTTTTTCTTCCTCTGCCCCTCCCTGGGCCTTGGACAGAAGGAAGGAAGGTGCTTTGGCTAATGTTATTACTGAAAGGGTTCTGGTCATCAACATGCCATTTCACCAGGGTTTTGTACTCTTTTCCCTTCTCTCTTGGTAGTCATTAAGATCAGATGCCTATGATCACTATAGTGCAATCTACAGCCTGCTGTGTGATCGACATAAGAGACATAAAACCCTGCGTCTCGGAGCACTTCCTAGCATGCCCCGAGCCATGGCCTTTCAAGCACCAGTCAATATCCAGGTGGGCAATAACTCCAGTGACCTAGTTCAGGACAAGTAACACCAGGGGGGTAAAGGTTAGCTGTTGCTCACTAACCCTAAGCCATGAGAGCTTCTTGCTCTTCCTTACCTCTGTCTCCCATTTGTCATCTCTTCTTTTGTCAAAGGCCAATCAAAGATCTGAACCTTTTTTTGACAGAGAGGAGGGATGAGCAACAATAGCTGTGCCTTTTGTTTTTTTTTAAAGAAATAGCAAATCATGAGGCGATGCTATCCTCTCCACAGGATGCTTCCTTGTTGTGACTTCTAACGGCAGATGAACCAAAGCCTTTAGTACTCAGGGAAACATAGACTTTAGCAATCAAGACTACTTGGAAAGACTCATCATTTCTCTCTAGTGTTAAAGGTATGCACGTATATGTATGTACTGCTTTCCAGGCGGAGCAGGCAGGTACCACTATGAACATCAGCGTTCCCCAGGTGCAGCTGATCAACCCAGAGAACCAGATTGTGGAGGCAAGTAGCAGCCTGTGGGAATTGTCAGCTGAAACCACTTTCTTTGCCGTATCCTTGCTTCCCTTCCTTCTGATATCTAATTCGATGGTGTTTCCCTCCACCTCAGCCGGATGGGACACTGAATTTGGACAGTGATGAGGGTGAAGAGCCTTCCCCTGAAGCATTGGTGCGCTATTTGTCCATGAGGCGGCACACAGTGGGTGTGGCTGACCCACGGTGAGTATCTGGCCAGCAGCCCTGATTAACACCGGGGCAAAGAATTGTCACCTGACTTTCAGTGTCTACCATGGCATATTTCCTATTACATTGTATCCCCAGAGGAGCTCTAATCCAGTGGCCAAGTGGACAATTAAAATTTAAATGAATAAGGATCCAAAATCCAATAACTCAACAGTTTCCCACAGTGTTTTCCCAAATTATTCTCTCATGGTGTTTCCTGCTGCCTGCACACTGGAAAAAAATGGACTGAAGGCTAGCTTGCCCCATGTTTGTTTCATAGTTAAAGACTCTCAACATTAAAATAGGCTTACCTCTTTCCTGGATATTTTCTTTGCTGAGTAGGAAGGGAAGGTTGTGGCAAGAATTCTCCTGAGAGGTCAACTCAGGGCAAAGCTGGTTTTCTTATAAATGTCTCTTTTCTCCCACTGAATTTCCAAAAAAGACTCTCATGCCTGCTGATGTGCTTGCCTTAGGTCTCTTGTTCTCAGCGTATGATCAAACAGGCAATAGGGGAGCATTCTGGCTCCACAGACTATATGTCAGCTGCAAAGGGGTGGAGCCCTGAGTCACTCTATTAGTGGCAAGATCTCTTATTTTTAAAGTATGCTGTAAAACCTACCATTGTAGCAAGATATCCCTGTACATCTAGTACTTATCTGTCCTATCAGCACTGACAAGAGGAATTGCATTCTTTCCCTAGTGAATCAGTTGCTACTTCAGGGAGCCATTATCTTAGTGGATGACCCATGTTCTCCAGAAACTTGGTGTTCACGTCCAGGCTTTGAAAACCTGAACTGGACTGGTGCCGGTATTTCCTCTTGGCTCAGAGCCCTTGGTTTGACATGAATGGCTAGTAAAGAATAGCAGTCTCTCATCCAAACAGTAAAGGAGCAGAGAGTTAAATTCCACACTGTAGGCTTTTGCTTTGCTTTAGGATCTTAGAGAGAAACCTAAATTTAGGAAGAAAATAAATAAAATACAGTAAGTTGTACTGAACATAGCAATGCCATCAATTTTGAGATATAAGCACTTTTGAGTAAGAATGTTAACCCAACTTCTCTGTCACTCTTTCCTATCAGCACGGAAGTTATGGAAGATCTGCAAAAGCTCCTACCTGGCTTTCCTGGAGTCAACCCACAGGCTCCATTCCTGCAGGTGGCCCCTAACATGAACTTCATGCACAACCTGTTGCCTATGCAAAATTTACAACCAACCGGGCAACTTGAGTACAAGGTACCTAGATATGGGAGAGGGCTGGCTCCAGAGGAAACAGACTTGAGCTTCCTTTGAGAGGCTTTGAGGGACCTTCCCTAGGACTTAAGGGTTTTCTTATAGAGAAAGATGATTTCTCTTGCAAAGCAGCTCGGGTGAGAAGGAAGCATTCTCTAATCTCCGTCATGACCTGTGGCTCCCTTCATTTCCATAGATTAGTATCTTGCCCCTTTCTCCCCACCTGCCTCTCATCTCATGGTCCGTCCTTCCCATTCTGCCCCTGGCAGGAGCAGTCTCTCCTACAGCCGCCCACGCTACAGCTGTTGAATGGAATGGGCCCCCTTGGCCGGAGAGCATCAGATGGAGGAGCCAACATCCAACTGCATGCCCAGCAGCTACTGAAGCGCCCACGGGGACCCTCTCCGCTTGTCACCATGACACCAGTGAGTAGCAGCACAGAGCCCAGTTTACTGTCTTCAGAGGCTTTTGATAAAGAGGTTATGAGCCTAGGGTTGGAAACCCAGGGCCAACTTACATGTCCAAATTTCCTCTTTCTCCAAACTTAGGATGCTCCAGCCCATTTTCTTCAGGCCAGTAGACTTTTCCACAGTTTGGTTTTGGCAGACTTACTTAGCCGAGTTATTTCTACATTGAACTGTGCTCCTGCAGAGCTCATTCTTCAGTGGGCGCTCACAGGTACCCTGGTTAAGTCCAGCTGCACTCCTGCCAGCTTGGGCCAGGTAGCAGCAGCCTAACTCACGGCCTTCTCCCAGGCAACCTTTCCCTGCCAGAAGGCAAAAGTGCCCTCGAATTCATTAGTTTCTAGACTGGCTTCCAAAATTGCCTTCTCACCAACACTTTCTCCATTGATAAATCCCACCTCACATTTTTGGCACAACCTGGATCACTTGATGATTTGCTTCCGCAGCTGTAGCCTAGTCAGTTTTTCTCTTAGTCACATCTCCTTCATATGATGGTCACATGCAGAGATTTTTCATCTCCCCTGGATTCTGTTTATTTCTGGTTATTTTCCTGTCATAGGTTCATTCATTTATTCATTCAATCTCATAGTACCGTAAGATTGGGTAGTAACTATATCCGTAACCCTTGGAGATATTTTAGGGCAGTGCCACTTTGAGGACCCTTTCCCTCCTTTAATCCATCCTTTGTAAAATATAGTGAAAGTGAGTCTTTAGAAAAATGAAAATTTAAAAACATATAAAATACAAGGCTAAATTTTTTATTGAATTCAGACAAAATTAGTCTGTTAAATTGCTAAAAGTTTCTCTTTATTTTTTTTCTCCCACTCTTAACTCTGCCTTTTTTTTTTTTAATTTAGTTCCTTTTTATTTTTTTAAATTGCTAAAAGTTTCTGAAAGGTTTTTGTCATGAATTGGTAACAAAACAGTTTGTGGGCATGGGTCCATGGGCCACACTCTCAGTAATGAAAGAATTATGTATCATAGCCCTTGGCATCACTGACAAGATCAATAGTACAAGATCATCTGTGATTAACTACCACAGTAATAACATGGAAAATTAGGTGGCAGAGGCATTCAGAGATGGGTGAGACAGATTTGGAAGGACCATGGTCAGCTTTATGGGAGGTGGAGTTACTTCCTGTGTCCATTGTAACTGTTTTTGCCAGGGTCACTAACAGGTTCTTATTGATAAATCCAGTGGACATTTTTAATCTTTTATCTTTTTGGACATCCCAACTGTATTAATCACTGTTGACTTTTTTTTTCCTTGAAATATTTTCTGTTTTTGGTGTCTGTGGCACCACATTCTCTGTGCCTCTCCTTTTCACATTTCCTTTCTGCTTGTTCCTTAAAGTTGGCAAAACCCAGAGTTCTATCCAGGCCCTATTCTTATCTTCCTTTATGTACTCTTTCTAGGTAAGTGTGTTCACCCCCATAATTTCAGTTACCATCTGACTCCAGCCCAGAAATACTCTTCTGAGTTCTACACTTATGTAACTATGACTGCCTACTGGATGGATTTAGTTGGTCATCCCACAAGTATTCACAACTTTTATTCAACATGTTCCAAATGAACTTACCATGACTCTGTGAAACGTGTTCCTCCCCTTGGGTGACAGTGAATGGCACCGTCATTCTCCTGGTTACACAAGTTAGGAATGTGTATTTTATCTTTAACCCGTCCCTCCCTTATTCCCCATATCAAATCAGCTATCCAGTGCCTGTGAATTAAACATCTTACTTCTCCACTTCCCATCCCTTAAATCAGGTCACTTGTCATCCATTGCATGGATTGACACAGTGGCCTCCTAACCGACTTCCTTGCTTCCAGTTATGTCCCCTGATCCCTGCCACCAGTCCTTTTCACACTGCAGCTAAAGTAAGCTGGCTTTTGGAAATATAAATCTTATAACATCATGCCCCTGCTTAAAATCCTTTAGTGATTCACCACTGTTCTTCCTCAGACTTCTTAGTGTGTTATTCACGGCCGCTTATAACTGGCCACAGTGTTCCTCTCCTGCCTCATCTACAGCCACTTCCTGCCTCACCCTGTTCACTCCACCCTTGTAGAACTGTGGTAAGGGATCTGGAAACCCTAGGAGCTTTCAAACAAAATTATTCCAAGAGGGTTTTGTTTTGTTTTGTTTTGTTTTGTAATTATCCATTTCGTACAATGCTCTTTTATAATAATTGAAGTGTGATTTTTGTCCTAGTGGCTGAGGCATAGTGATTATATGGGCACCTAGGCTGTGGGTAGCTAGCAAGGATGCAGATGGGAAAGTCACAGTGATGCATGCATTGTGGTGGCTCTCATTTCACTCACGTTTTGGTGGGTAACAACTATTTTAAAGCATTGAATTGAAACTACACAATTGTATCTTATGTACTGAAATGTAATTTCAATAATTCACTATGTTTTCTTGGAGTTAAGACATTTAAACTCTGGAAATAACAGTAATACGAAACAACAGGTCAACTCCTAGACATTCCAGGTAAACAATCTTCTACTATATTTTTAGGTCCTCAAACACCTACAGTCCTTCTCTTTTCTTCAGCTTGAAAAGCTGTAACTCCTGTCCCTCTTTGTCTGGCCAGTTCCTATGCATCCTTCAGGTTCCTGCTAGGTGTTACCTCCTCCAGGATGCTTTCCTTAATTTGCAAGCACCCCCATTAGAAGACTTGGTCGTCCTATTTTGTAATTGTCTGTTTACTTTTCTCTATCCTCTACTAGACTGTAAAATGAGGACAAGGTCTGTATCTGTAAATTCAAATTTTATTCTGCAACATAGTGGTGATTCAGTTATTTATTAGATTAATAAATGAATGAATGAAGATAAATAAGTGGAAGAAATTCTAAGTAGGATTACCTAAGCAAGGTCAAAGTGGACAAATAGGTATATGACATCCGATATAACCCAGGGGTCCTAGAAAAGTTCTGTAAATAAGAAAGTCAACAGAAGGTCCCACCCCAAGCCCAGTTACTAGAATAAGAGGCATTGTAGAATAAGCTGCCACCTTGAGCTTTTCCTTCCTGTCTCTCTTCAGGCAGTGCCAGCAGTTACCCCTGTGGACGAGGAGAGCTCGGATGGGGAGCCAGATCAGGAAGCTGTGCAGAGGTAATGTGACACCTGGCAGTGCTTGCAGAAGTCCTTGGGCAGGCTCCCCCTGCAACCAGCGAAAGGTCACCTCTGCCCAAGGAGGTGGTACAGTGCAGCTTCAACATTTGTGTGGTCACTTTGCTCAAGCCAGATGGCATGTTCCTCCCCACATGGAAGTAACAGAAGACTACCCAGAAAATGTCTTTTCTGTAAGCACCATTGGAAGTCCCCTAAGTGACAGCAATAACCATAAGAACTTTCTCTTTCCTCCCTCCTTCCTTGTCCCCTGCCTTCATATTGCAACTCTGATAGTATTCACAAGGCACAAAGCCTGCTCCTACCTGCCAAGAACTGTTTACTGAAAAGGAATTGGAGATTTGGGATGACAGTGATCCTAGCTAGTCTGGCCATGGACCTCTGGCATGGACTCTTTCTTTCCAGGAGAATGAATACCTCTTGTACTGTTTGCTGTGTGCTTCTTCCACCCCCTTGTACCAATCAAGAGATCTTGAAAAAAAGAATATGGGATTCGGGCCAGGGACAGATGCAAATATCCATTGTTTTCAGAACCTTGTTGAGAGATGCCTAATTCACAGAGAACGGCAGTGACCATCAGGCATGCTATGCTGTACTGTTCATTTGGCCTCAGTTCCATTAGCCCTGCTCCTCAGCTCCCTGCATGTCCCCTTGTGGGAGTTGATTTTCTTATTATCTGGGGAGGGGGTTTCACCAGAATCCAGCATGTATTTTCCCAGAAATACAGGTGTTCTTCAAGATTATATGTTTTTTTCCTTTGAGGGAAGTTGAAATAAAATGGTTTTCTTGGGCTTTTGGGGGAACTTTGGGTGTCTTTATCAAATGGTTATTAAAGCACTAATGGCTTACTCTTTGGCAAGTTCACATAACACTAATTACTCTACAGCCTGTTACCTGATTTTAGCTTAAAGGGGCAAGGTAGTTAAGAATGAAATGATACCATTTTTTAAGAACCTGACAGCTGCTGGCTAGGACTCTCATCCTACCCCCAGTAGCTCTGTATGAGAGCTGCTATTCAAAAAGCAGCTGGTCCGATGTGGAAAGAAAACCATGGCAAACAGTGGCGTTGGCAGGTGGATCAGCTCCTTCTACAGCTTGGCCAATAGAAGGAAAATTGTGGTAACTTTTTTTTTTCCTTGATGCTGTTGTTTCTGTAGTTTGCTGATAACAGGGTATATGCAGTTACAAATGCGCCCTGCTGGGTCATGAAGAAATGAGAAATCAGGAAATTTGCTGCCTTTCTACCTTAAAAGAGACAGCAACATTTTATCTTCTTTGTCATAGACTTTCCTTCCTCCAGGTCCACCTTCTTTCCTCTTTAGACCAACATTTCAAGGGTATAATGCCTATCAGTTTTGATGTAATAAAAAGGTATAGTGCCTCTTTTATTCATGCCCCTAGAAGAGCAGCAGTGGTGGAGGAAGTCATCCACCAGACGAAGAGGGACCAATATCTTATTAATGGTATTGACTAAGTGGTGGGTCTGAAAGATCCTCAGAGGAAAAGCCATCAGCTTGTGAACTCTTTGTCTTTTGAAACTCTTCTGTTTTTATTTTTTGCCTTGCTTTTTTCCCCTAAAAACAATTCTAAACATTTCATGTGGTTTTATTTCTTCATCCTCTACAGAATGTTGGTTCCCCAAGGACAACATCAGTTTTTCTTCTCTGATGCTTGAGTTATAGTCACTGAGAGAGAGGGAAGGAGTGGTTTTGGAATTCACTTATCCCCAAATGGAAGGATCAGTTTTGTGTGACCTGTAGTAAAGACAGTCTCAAACCTGGGGCTTATGAGATCAAGAGACATACACAGAGTCCTTCTGAACATCTCCCCAGGTTCATCTCTAGGAATAATCCTTCGGGCTCATTTCCTCTGACTTGTATTTTAGAAATTTAGAGGGAAAGATGAATAAATTAACATGGAGAAAATAAATTCTTCTACCAAACAGAATGAAGCAAGGAAAAGTGATCTCATCTTTGTGAGCTAGATCTGCTTTCTGTCTTCTCTTCAATGGCTATTCTTAGGTTCAGAATTCAGCCACTTCATTGTCAAGCCAACTTCTGTTGGCCAGCCGGACATGTTTCACTTCCATCCAGTCAGGGATCTGTTTGCCATCGAGCCCTTCGTGAGTTCTGGCACTATCTCACTGAGTGCTTTGGATTAACTTCTAATGCTTCTTGTGGAGGAATATTCCTGTCTGTCTTTTTTACTATGAAATGTGCTCCTGCTTGTTGCAGGTACTTGGCAAATAGGTCCAAAAGACATACACTGGCCATGACCAACCCTACAGCTGAGATCCCACCGGACCTACAACGGCAGCTAGGACAGCAGCCTTTCCGTTCCCGGGTCTGGCCTCCTCACCTGGTACCTGATCAGCATCGGTGAGTAGCCACATGAGCTGTGCGAGCTCCTTGAGGCTCATCAGCCAGGCACCCTTCTGATTAGTCTCACAGCGACGGTGACTAGCATCGTGGCTTTAAACTGAAGCCAGCTGTCATCCTGAACTCACATCTTCTCAGCTCCTTGCACTAAGCAATGCACAGGGCAAAGGTTTCTTACTGCGCCCTGGAGCAATGCGAGATTCCTCTCTCCCATTACCCTGCAGACCTGTTTATTGTCTGCATTTGATTCCCATGATTCTAGATGCTGATTCTTAGATAAAATTGAACTTGAGACCTGCAAAGAAATGAAACTCTCAGAATGCCACCTGGAAACAGGAAGATTTGTAGCCATATCAATAGACTTGACCTTTAATAATCCATCACCTTCAAAAGAATGAGCATTTCATATCATGTTACCATTGAACCACCAGCTTGGAAATGAAGACAAAGCCCCTTGTGAATAGTAGAGCAGAGATCCTCTTGAGTGATGTATTTAAGAGGTCATTCTTTCAATATTCTGATGGCAGGATCTTCTGCTAGGTTCCATTACATTTATAATCCATTCTCTTGAAGAAATAAAAGCAAGTTTAACTTTCCTGGCCAAGAAAACTTCATTGATGCCAAGTAAGCCTGGAAGCAGGTGCGGAATGACACTTTGCTAGATGAAGAAGATTATTATCTTCTGTGAATACCTTGATGACTAAAAATCTCAGTCATGTCCAGTCTGAAGCCATCCCCAAGCTCATGGCCCACACGTTCAAAGCCACCACCAATTGCTAGAGCGTAATCTCTGTATTTTGGGGAAGACAGTGAAAAGCAGCCTTGGGAAGGTTGAAAAGCAATCAGATTCCAAGGAAAACAGGTTTATATATGTATTGTTATGAAATCTTACAACCAGCCCACACTGGCAAGCTTTATTGTGGCTGGTTATCCATTTGGCATCAACATAATCAGCAGAGGCAGGTGAACTCTGAGCAGACAGACATAATTAGTGCCACGTTGGAACCCTAAAAGGAGGAAGATAAGCTTTTATAAATGACTGTGAATAATTTAATAAAAATGGTCTGCTAGGAGTAGCAAGAATGATGATTCAAAGATAAAACTATGATGTCACAGAAAAACAGGCTTTTTCTAATGAAAATCTCTCAGGACCTACAGTGTTTGTGCACATTAAAGAGCACTTTGACCATCATGGCATGTGTATACCTATGTAACAAATCTGCACGTTCTGTACATGTATCTCAGAACTTAAAGTATAATAAAAAATACATATATACATACATAAATGCATAAAGAGCACTTTGAGTGATTACTGGAGAGCTGCCTTCTCCTCCCCTATATGTTCCCTGTGACGTCTCATGACTTTGAGCTCTACGCTGCTATCTAACAGACCCTTCATTCCTCCTTTTCTCCTTGTCTCCATCTTCCCTTCCTTCACAGCTTGACACTGTGTTTTAGCCCTTGTCCGAGTCTGTTGTTTAGCTGAAGTCCTTTAGGTATTCTTGTTGAGTTCTAGGTGTTCCTCAGGAGGTCTTCTTTTAAAGGGAACGTGAAGATCAGCACATTTCCAGAGTCAGGCTTTATCACAGACCCTATATTCTATTGACATTTCTTCCTCAGGAAGGATCACACTGGCCACCGCTCTGTCTGTGTGATATCCACCCTGCCTAGAGTCATTGTCAAGGCCTTGCCTGCTGGAAGTCTGTTTGCTGTCTGGTTTCATGTGAACCTTTTTGGTGTTTTGAGGGTTTCCTGTGGCCAAGCCTATTTAAATTGGAAGAAAATGAATGTTTAATGAGGGGCAAATTGCGTAAGGTGGGGCATTTGCGCAAACCCAGCATGTCTTGATGGCATCACTATACAAATATGCAGCAAAAGAGATTAAAGCCAGTCTTCAGGGGAAATGACAAACTTTCCAAGGCTATAAAACATGGAGTATGGGTGGCCTGGATTGGTTCTTGAATTCCTTTCATTTTCTGGAGGAAATGATTAAAGAACAGTATATATAACTATCCTACTGGGGTAGAAGAGATGAAGTTCAACATGGAAACAGAAGAGGGGTCTAATCAACCGTTTCATATCTGGAAATGTGTAATTTAAGGTTAAAAATGTTTAAAAAGGTGTAACTAAAAAAAATGTTTTTAAAACTAACACAAGATAGATTTTATCCAGGTGGGGAACCAAGTCCCTGTTTGGAGAGTATGGTGTGGGAATATCAGCCTAAGGCAAGGCCGTCGTGAATTTGAACGTGATTGCAAATATAAATAAAATCAAGCACAATTGATACTTAACAATGCTTCTCAAATGAACAGCTACGTCAGAACTGTTCCTCTGAGGTTACGGTGCTGGACTGACCTAGGTATCGGTCTCTTCACAACCTGAGCTTCTGAAAAAGTCATGAACACCTGGACCTGGGATTATTGCTCTGATGGGAGAGAATGCTTTTTGTGCAGAAAGACTGTATTGGCTGCTTGAAGAACACAGCTTTTTGAGGTGATCAGAAACGCATCCATTATCAGAAAACATTGAAAGCATAGGAGTCAAATTTTAGGAGAAAATAGTACTTGCTTGCTATAACTCAAAAAACCTGAAGTAAAAACAGAACTGACAAGTTATGAGGAAATGCTTCTGAACACAGCTTTCATGATCCCTGTTCCTGGATTGTGGCCCTTCCCAAAGTCATTTGTTTTTTGTGTTACTGAAACAAATACATGTTCATGCCCATTTCATTAGCTCACTGTTGGGTCAAGCCCCAGGTAGAGTCTGAAACTAAAGTCATCGTTAGCAAAGAGAGGGCAAAAGGCTTTCACCTGCTGCCAGAACTCTCTGGATACTTCTGCACTGTTATTAGATTCCTTCTGGTCCCATGCTGTCTGCATTGTATTTGAACTCGCTTGTTAACCTGCTTCCTGAGCTGTGGTTCTGCTTCCGTCCCAAATGAATCACTGGCAAGGTGGCGCATCATTTCATCCAAAGTTCAGTGCAATGGCATCTCTGCCCTGGACATGAAACCCTGATCCTTTCCATCTGCTACTGGAATGCTGCCTTGGCAGTCTTTTATCTGCTTACCTCAACCCATAAACATCTCTTTCTGATCATCAGGTCACGAGTGTAGGTGTTAGCTTTGAACCCTGATGCTGTCTTAGGCATTCCTTATGAGTAGCTTGTTCTTTCTTTCTGTAAGATTCTGGCTGTGTTCTGATTGAGCAGTGGGGTCTTTGAAGGTAACCCATATGATTCCTCTTTCATTAGGAGGTTGGGCGAGTGCTGCTGCTCTGAGAAGTTGATTTTCACAGTAGGTGACCTTATTTGTGTTGACCAGGTATGTGCAGGATCTCAAGGCCCACATTCCTTAAGAATTTGCTATCTCCATCCCAGGATCAGAAGTCTTCATTTTCCCCCACCCCCAATCTCCACCTTCTATTTTCTAGCACAGAACCTGTGAGTTCCAGGCTAGGCCTTTGACCACAAAACTGACTGTTGTTTTCCTCTGGTCATACAGAGATTATTGCGCAGAGAAAACTTTGGCTCAAATGGTGAATTTAAGGTTTCAAAAGGCAGTAGATAGAGACATGATTATAAAAGAGCAAGAGTTCCTGTACAGCCTGCCCTGGAGGATATTAAGAACTTTACTGTCTGGCCTAGTATTTTTTTTTTTTTTTTTTTTTTTTTGAGATGGAGTCTTGCTCTGTCGCTAGGCTGGAGTGCAGTGGTGCAATCTCGGCCCACTGCAACCTCTGCCTCCCAGGTTCAAGCAATTCTTCCGCCTTAGCCTCCCGAGTAGCTGGGACTACAGGCGCGTGCTACCACGCCTGGCTAATTTTTTTTTTATTTTTAGTAGAGACGGGGTTTCACCATGTTGGCCAGGATGGTCTCGATCTCTTGACCTCATGATCTGCCCACCTTGGCCTCCCAAAGTGCTGGGATCACAGGCGTGAGCCATCACTTCTGGCCTCTCTGGCCTAGTATTTTTATAAGAACCAAAGGTACTTGATCTCAGGACCTTACCAGGCTTGGAAAGTAAGCCAACTGAAGGTAAGTAGAGTTGGAAGATGTTCACCTGCAACCCTCTAAAGGGAAGCAGGCTAGACAAATGACCAATGTCTGGAAATGGCATGGAAGTGGCATAATATGCAGGGCCACCCGGGCAGCCAGTCATCTTTAAGTTCGTCTGGAACAGCAGTCCCTGTGTGATTTGGTCAAAGCCTCTGAGTCCTAGCCTCTAACCTTCTCTTCCCATGTATTCAGCTCTACCTACAAGGACTCCAACACTCTGCACCTCCCTACGGAGCGTTTCTCCCCTGTGCGCCGGTTCTCAGATGGGGCTGCGAGCATCCAGGCCTTCAAAGCTCACCTGGAAAAAATGGGCAACAGCAGCAGCATCAAACAGTTGCAGCAGGTAATGGGAGAGGTGGCAGGCATCCCTGGAGGAGCATGGGTGACAGAGGCCAGGACTGCAGGAGGACTGGGGTGGTAAACGTACCCCCTTTTATATCAGCAACATTGACGTTTTATAGGTTAAAAAGTATAGCTTTTTGGGCCAGATGCAGTGGATCCCACCTGTAGTCCCAGCACTTTGGGAGGCCAAAATGGGAGAATTGCTTGAGCCCAGGAGTTCTAGACCAGCCTAGGCATCATGGCAAACCCCTTCTCCGCAAAAACATTAAAAATTAGCATAGTCCCATCTACTCGGGAGACTAAGGTGGGAGGATCACTTGAACCTGGGAGGTGGAGGTTGTAGTGAGCCAAGATTCCACCCCTGCACTCCAGCCTGGTGACAGAGCCAGACTTTTTCTTTTAAAAGAAAAAGAAAGTATAGCTTTCCAGCGCACTTTATTTACTTTGTGTTATGTACAGCCCTCCCTAGGATCAAACTTGCTCCCCCTATGAAGGGAATAAATTTCTCTACTGTCTGTAGTTCATTGGAAAGGAATTTCTGGCCTTGGGTTTCTGTGGGAAGCACCAGAGAACATACTTCTCACTCTGTCTCCCATGCTGGAGTGCAGTGGCGCAATCTCGGCTCACTGCAACCTCCACCTCCTGGGTTCTAGCAATTCTCCTGCCTCAGCTTTTCAGGTAGCTGGGACCACAGGTGTGCGCCGCCACACTGGCTAATTTTTGTATTTTTATTAGAGATGGGGTTTCACTACGTTGGCCAGGCTGTGTCTCGAACTTCTGACCTCAAGTGATCCACCCGCCTTGGCCTCCCAAAGTACTAGGATTACAGGCGTGAGTCGCCATGCAACCCTGGCACTCCACTCATGATTTAGGGCACTGGGTCTTGCTTAAACTCACTGTACATTGTTACCACCTGCATTCTCTCAGGTGGTATGGAATGGCACTTTCAAAGGAAGGAAACATACCTCTATATGTTTCTGTACTGTAAAGATTCTATAAAGAGCCAGCTTCCTTTCTGCCTTTGTGATGACCAAGTTTCCAGTGGCATGTGCTTTGTACACAGATTCCACATTGGACATCTTTACTCATACAGAGGCCATCCTTGATGTTTTCCATTCATTCATACAGAACAGGGTGTGAATATATTTAGTGCACCAGATACCTATATAAATGAGTCAATTGCTCATCAAGGACACTGTTCTCTTGCGGCTCTTTCTGCCCATGAGACCGTGGGGGCAGATCTGCACCTGCTGAGATCACTGCATGGGGTGGGCCTGGCTACATCCTATCTGTATTAACTACTTTCCCTTCAGGAGTGTGAGCAGCTGCAGAAGATGTACGGGGGGCAGATTGATGAAAGAACCCTGGAGAAGACCCAGCAGCAGCATATGTTATACCAGCAGGAGCAGCACCATCAAATTCTCCAGCAACAAATTCAAGTAGGCCCTCACTCTTTGCTGTCTCCAACTTGTTTGGAGTTTGCTTTCAGGCTGATTTGCCTGTGCATTTTGGAGGAGACCACTCAGGGCAAAGTGGATTTGAGTTCTGTTTATGGTTGACATGTTTGAGTAAAGGTAATCAGACCTTCTGGTGAACAACAAAAGCATAAATCTGAGACACACATAGTTCTTTCTGTTCCTTCCCTTCCTGAGAATAGCTCTGAGTAATCTTCAAGCTCACAATAATTTTTTTTCCTTTCCCCATATACGTTTTAGGACTCTATCTGTCCTCCTCAGCCATCTCCACCTCTTCAGGCTGCATGTGAAAATCAGCCAGCCCTCCTCACCCACCAGCTCCAGAGGTAATGAATCATTTTGTGTTGTGCCTAAGCCATTGTCTCAATAGCATGGTACCCTTGGCCTGACTCGCTGGGAGATAATGGACTGACTTGAGAATTCATTTTGCAAGAATCTATTTGAAAAGAAGATAAACCAGTGTAAATTTCAGGACCCTTCTTGGAATCCCAACTTCCTGTGCCACTTCATTTTCCTAGCTCCATGAGCGAAATAATCTGATACCTAATACAGGAGGCCAGACACAGGCCCACAGTGACTTCGCTGCCATTTTGGCTGAGAAGTCTAGTCAAACGAGGTGGGGATAGGTTTTAAATGACTGTGGTGGATGGCTTATGTATATTTTTCTAACATGAAGCCTTATCAAAATAAAAAAAAAATTTCCACTTATATATGCCGTATGGCTGAAACTTAAGATTGTACTGTCACCTTAGGAAGCTTCTTTATGTATCTCTTTTGTTATTTTTAAGGTTAAGGATTCAGCCTTCAAGCCCACCCCCCAACCACCCCAACAACCATCTCTTCAGGCAGCCCAGTAATAGTCCTCCCCCCATGACCAGTGCCATGATCCAGCCTCACGGTGAGTGGAGAGGTTCAGACTAAACAGTTCATTATATGCCACATGGGAAAAAATGATGGTCTCAGTTTTGAGCACCACAAACCATTTGAAAGGCAGAATATCATAGTATTCAGGGGTATGGGCTGTAGAGCCAAGCTGCTTTGTTTTGCATCCTGGTTCCACCAATTTCTTAGCTGTAAACCCTTGGCTAAGTTAACTTGACTTTTGAATTAGTCCGTTTTCACATTGCTATAAAGAACTAACTGAGACTTGGTAATTTATAAAGGAAAGAGGTTTACTTGACTCACAGTTCCACGTGGCTGGGGAGGCTTCAAGAAACTTAAAATCATGGCAGAAGGAGAAGCAAGCCATGTCTTACACAGTGGCAGGAGAGAGATTGCGTAGGGGAAAGTGCCAGACACTTAGCAAATGACCAGATCTCATGAGAAGTCCCTCACTATCATGAGAACAGCATGGGGGAAACCACCCCCATGATCTAGTCACCTGCCACCAGGTCCCTCCCTCAACACCTGGGGACTACAAGATGAGATTTGGGTGGGTACACAGAGGCAACCCGTATCACTTCTCAAATGTCAACTGTACCATAACTGATCTGGCACAAGATGGTTTTCAATAAATGTTAACTATTATTAATATTTTTAATCAAATCTCCAGCCCTGCCAAATAAAAAGCAGTTGCCAGAATCTTCCTTGTAGTCATGCCTCCGTTTGGCTGTCCACTATGCATGTGGGCCCCTCTCTTGCGGGCGTATAGATGAGAATGAAGATAAGTGTACCGTGACTGTGTGAGTCTTCAGAGGTCAACCATCTGAGGATCTCTGGAGTGACACTCCCCAAGCTACGTTCCTTGTCAGCCTCCCTAGCATCCTTGAGAAGAGTCTGAATTGGCCTTTGGGCACTTAAAGTGGAGTCCCCCAGCCACCAACATTGGCAGAAAAAGTAAGATCTCAGGTTGTATTCCAGACCTGCTCAATTGGAGTGTGCATTTTTAACCAGATGCCAGTCCATTTGTGTGCATGCGAAAGTTCAAGAAGCGCTGCCTAGATCTGAGTTACCCAAAGTATAATCCATGGACCAGCTTTTAGAAAAGGGAGCCGATTGGAAACACAAATTCTTGGGGGCCCACCCTGATCTACCAAATCAGAGTTTGAAACAGGATTATGTCGATCGGGCCCAGGAATCTTCTGTTTAATGAGTTCTCCAGACTTGTCTTAGGCACACTGCAGTTTGAGAAGCACTGTTCTAGCTGGTGTGTGGTTTGAGTATCCTCATCGGCTCTCATTACTCCTGGCTGGCTGGTGACCTGGGCACTTGGTCACTCTGAGATTCCTTTCTCTCCAGGTGCTGCATCTCCCTCCCAGTTTCAAGGCTTACCTTCCCGCAGTGCAATCTTCCAGCAGCAGCCTGAGAACTGTCCCTCTCCTCCCAACGTGGCACTAACCTGCCTGGGCATGCAGCAGTCTGCCCAGTCACAGCAGGTCACCATCCAAGTACAAGAGCCTGTTGACATGCTCAGCAACATGCCAGGCACCGCTGCAGGATCCAGTGGGCGGGGCATCTCCATCAGCCCCAGTGCCAGTCAGATGCAGATGCAGCACCGTACCAACCTGATGGCCACCTTCAGCTACGGGCACCGTCCCTTGTCCAAGCAGCTGAGTGCTGACAGTGCAGAGGCTCACAGGTAAGACCACCTAACTTCACCCAGCCATCTATGCATGGGGATCCAGGTGGGAGGAAGCCCCTTAGCAGGGTGAGAGAAAAGGAGGAAGGAGAATGGGTCTGATTAGGCTGTGCTCTTGTTTCACCCTTTATAAAATCAGGATGGTGAGTTTGGGATGAACTTGTCAGCTTTTTATTGACGCAAGGTTAAAATTCTAAAGAGACTGAGGTGGAAAATGAGAAAGCTACCTTATTATTTGCTTACAAAGAAGAAAATGGCCAATTAGAAGAGTGTATAAAAATGCCAGTTCCCCTTTTCTTGAAGGGAGCATCTTGAAGTTGTTTCCTTCAAGGTGAGCTAGATCTATTACTCACGCAGTGCCCTTAGTCCCTTGGAGGTTACTGGACAAGCCAATAATGTAATAAGTAGGAACAATACGTACATCTGCCATTTCCCTGTTGCACCACAGCTCTCTGTGCAAGTGGGTGCTCCCTACTGAGGAGGAGGAGGAGCTGTTCCCTGGGGCGTCTAGTACTTGTTACGTGGATGGCTGGTACTCACTCCCTTTTGTGTCTGCAGCTTGAACGTGAATCGGTTCTCCCCTGCTAACTACGACCAGGCGCATTTACACCCCCATCTGTTTTCGGACCAGTCCCGGGGTTCCCCCAGCAGCTACAGCCCTTCAACAGGAGTGGGGTTCTCTCCAACCCAAGCCCTGAAAGTCCCTCCACTTGACCAATTCCCCACCTTCCCTCCCAGTGCACATCAGCAGCCGCCACACTATACCACATCGGCACTACAGCAGGCCCTGCTGTCCCCCACGCCGCCAGACTATACAAGACACCAGCAGGTTCCCCACATCCTTCAAGGACTGCTCTCTCCACGGCATTCGCTCACCGGACACTCGGACATCCGGCTGCCCCCAGCAGAGTTTGCACAGCTCATTAAAAGGCAGCAGCAACAACAACGGCAGCAGCAACAGCAGCAGCAGCAACAGCAAGAATACCAGGAACTGTTCAGGCACATGAACCAAGGGGATGCGGGGAGTCTGGCTCCCAGCCTTGGGGGACAGAGCATGACAGAGCGCCAGGCTTTATCTTATCAAAATGCTGACTCTTACCACCATCACACCAGCCCCCAGCATCTGCTACAAATCAGGGCACAAGAATGTATCTCACAGGCTTCCTCAGCTACCCCGCCCCATGGGTATGCTCATCAGCCGGCACTGATGCATTCAGAGAGCATGGAGGAGGACTGCTCGTGTGAGGGGGCCAAGGACAGCTTCCCAGACAGTAAGAGTTCAAGTACATTGACCAAAGGTTGCCATGACAGCCCTCTGCTCTTGAGTACCGGTGTACCTGGGGACCCCGAATCTTTGCTAGGAACTGTGAGTCACACCCAGGAATTGGGGATACATCCCTATGGACATCAGCCGACTGCTGCATTCAGTAAAAATAAGGTGCCCAGCAGAGGTAAGTGTCTCCTCACAGTGAAAGTCCTGGACCAGTCTGCCCTCATCAGCTGACTCAGTAATGTTACCGTTTTTCAGTTCGTATTCTGTGTTCCTAACAGAAAAAGAATTTCTGAGAAGAGCTTCAGGACCTTCCTGGGGAGAAGCACATAGGAAGTGGGTGTTGGTGTGGGTGAGGGGTCCATTTTCATACACAGAGGACAATGATACAAAATCAGCACTTAGATGATCTGTTTCCCTCATTCATACCACAGTTCCTTGGAATCCAGAAAGTCTTGTCTGCCACCAAAAGAGCTAACTTAACTTCTATAATAGAAAAAAGTCAGCCAAACACAATGTAGAGTAAATAGTGCTGGAACAAGAGTCAAAGCACCTGAATTCTGCTCTGGCTGCTGTCATAAATACGATAACTTCGTCATTTAAACTCTCCGATTCTGATTTTCCTCATCCGTGAAGAAGGTGCTGGAGGAACAGTGGTTCCTTACAGAGAATTGTGGGGATGAAAACATATATATATGTGTTTGTTTTTACATAATGTTTGTGAGAGACAGAAAGAAGCACATTCAGATCATCTGAAATGTATGGTTTTAGTGCATAAATGTGAGGTGTTATACTTTGGTCATTTTATTAGTGAGCTAAATGCAGAATATTACAGTATCATAAGGGGCCCCATATGGTTTGATTTTGTGCCACTTTATAATTAATGAGTATGTTCATTCTCATTCTGAAGGAGATTAGGATTATACTCAGTAAGTTATACTTGGAAAATATAGTTCCATTGGCATCATAGCATTCATCCTAGACAAAACCAGGAATCTTGTGGGCCGGGCACAGTGGCTCACACCTGTAATCCCAGCACTTTGGGAGGCTGAGGCGGGTGGATCACGAGGTTAGGAGTTTAAGATCAGCTTTGTCATCATAGTGAAACCCCGTCTCTACTAAAAATACAAAAATTAGCTGGGTGTGGTGGCACATGCCTGTAATCCCAGCTTCTCAGGAGGCTGAGGCAGGAGAATCACTTGAACCCGGGAGGCAGAGGTGGCAGTGAGCGGAGACCACCATTGCACTCTAGCCTGGGTGACAGAGTGAGACTCTGTCTTGAAAAAAAAGAAAAAAAAAACCCAGAATCCTGCAATTTACCACCCCTCACCTGCCATCCAAGGGAATAAAAGCAATTGATCCGTAAACTGTACAACCCTGAGACTGAGCAGTGTCTTCCATCCCTCCCTCCCTGGAATTACCTGCATCTTCTGCCCTGTCCTTTAAAGTCAATGCCGAAAACTCAGCTCTAAGGGGAATTAGCTCCTGCAGCACAGAGCAGTAGAGAAGACCTTGCTGTAAAGCCGTGTCTGTGAAGAAGACTTGATGGTGTCAGGTTGTACTCATTCTACACTCTTAGGGAGGAAATTGTTACCTCAAATGCCAATTAAATCCCGACGTTTTTAACAGATGGTTGTCACGCAGCTCAGAGGTTGGCGCCAGTGAGATGTATTGTGTTCACCTGTGACTGCTGTAGTCTCAGTGGACACAGAAGGGTGGGAGCTTTCAGAACCAGGTAGTAGGTGGACTGATGGTTTTTAGGATTGGGAGGGAAAAACTAAGAAATATCACACTTGTTAGATGGAAGAAGAGATTAGATTTTTCTGAGTTCATATTATAGGGCAGAACTAAGATCAAGATAGAAGTTGCAGCAAATTTCAACTCCCTGTGGAAAACCCTTATAAGAACTCTCCAGAATAGGCTGCCTTAGCAGCCTGGGAGCTTTTTAACAGAGGTGGGATGATGGTATGGGAATGCTGTGAAAAAGATTCCCATGCAAATGGACACTTCTAGCAGATAAACACACCATACTTGGCATGAAAAGGAGATGAGCTCACACTTCTATTGTGCTCCCCATGTGCCAGGCACCAAATGCTGTTCATATATGGATTCATTTAATCCTCACTACAACCCTAGAATAACCAACTCTTATTCCCATTTACCAGTGAAACAGTGGAGACACAGAGATTAAGTAACTTGTCCCCAAGGTCAAGAGCTAGTGAGTGGCAGCTGAACCTAAGAGTACTCACACTAGCTGTCATTGACACAAGAGATGCTCAGCGAGTGTGCAGGGCACTGAGGAAGGAGCTCAGCTGCAGCAAAGTGCCTCCGCCCTCCACCCCTGCCCCCGCCTGGGTTACCGTGCACTTTCAATACTTTCTGAAATGTTTTTCTTCAAAAATTATTTTCCCTAGTTTCTCTTTACCTTCCTTCCTGTGTGACTTCTACGCGTAGAACGGCTGGAGAGCACAATTCCCCATTGTCCCCTGATTGTCGGAGGAGCCCTTCCTTGGCAGGCACGCTCGTCCGTTGAGTACCCACTGTTGGTGCAAGTGCTGTGGGCGTACCGGAGAAGGGAGAGATTAGTTCAAACCCAAGGAATGAGGTCGTTTCCAGCAACAAGTGGATGTGGGTTGGGTCCTGATGGATGAAGGACGTTTGCCATTTGGATCTAGAGGAGAAGCAGGAGAAAAGAACAATGGGTGAGACTGTCAGGGAATTTTCCAAGGACAGCAGCAGGCTTGGCTGGCTTGAAGTGCAGTGTACGTGAAGGCAATAGTAGAAGCTAAGGATGGGGTTTTCTAAAATGCATCATCTAGATTCCGCTGCATTGTGAAAAAAAAACTCAAGTTTCTCTTTCTTTTTTTTTTTTTTTTTTTTTTTTTTTTTTTTTTTTTTTTTTTTTTTTTTTTTTTTTTTTT